GTGTGTGTGTGTGTGTGTGTGCGTGTGTGTGGCCAGCTCAGCCCACCAGGGGGCGGGGCGGGCTGGCATGCAGTGCTGGGGGATTGAACCAGGGTCCCTGTGCCTTGCTGAGCTTGTTCTTAGTAGGTGCTTTAGACCACTGAGCCATCTCACCAGCCCCACATAGACCATTTTCTAAAGAAAAAAAAAAATGCCAGCTATCAGGTGTACTGAGTTCATGTCTTCTGATATAGGAGGTCAGAAGAGGCTATAAGTAGGAAAGATTTATTGGGAGAAGGCTCCTGAGACACAGGAGAGGTCCTGAAGGGAGTTGTCTCAGAGGCTTAGTGCAAGGGAATTTTATATAGCAGAATCAGTGTGGTTTGAGGTATGCCTCAAACTACAGCCAACCTGTAGGATTACAAGTAGAGTTGCTTGGCTAATGCCGGCCCAACAGGGAATGAGGCCCATAGCATGGGTACATGGCCTCGCTAACTAGTGATCTGCAGTTTCCAGCACAGAGGACGAAGGCATTCCTGGAAGAGGACGGCTGTGTGGGACATCCTGGTCACCCGCCTGTGTATCTGATGCATCATTTGGCCCTGGGTCAGGAGCTGCTAATTGCAGCACAGTCTAAGCTGCTGCTCCTCCCTGCAGAGGCTCATGCCTAGGGACTGTGCTGCCTCACGAGGCCAGCTTCTTCAGATGTGCCCCTGAGCCGGCTGATCTGTCACTCCCACACTGCCTCCTGGGATGGCCCGCCCTTACGCATTGCTGTCTAGTTCACCCGCCTAGCTCAGAGGCTGTGTTAGTCTTGTGTCTCAGCATGCGTTTCTTGGCGTGCAGGCTGGCCTCACACTGGAGGCCATCGGACTGCCCCAGCCAGGTTCCGAATGCTGGGATTACAGGTGTGTGCCGCCACTGCGTGGCCCTTCACCGAGCACAGCCTTCTGCCTGGCTGTGGACCTGCACAGGGTTTTGTACTCTGCAGTGCTGCCCAGGTCCCCCTGAGCATCAGTTTTCTAATCTCACGTGGCCCCACATCTTCACTCCTGAGCCCCAAGGCCCTACAGGAGGAGCCCCCAGGTGGCCCTGCTGAGCCCCACAGTCGCTTTGGCCTTCGTTGTGACCTCTCTCGCTGAGCCTGGTGACTTCTGACCTCTCTGAATCTGAGTGGCCTCACAACCCCACACCTGAAACCAGTGCTGGCACAGCCCAGACATGAACGAGTGGAATTTGCACTTTGCTGCAGTAACTGCGTGGCTGGGTCACCTTACACCTGAGCCAGACAACCCTGGAAAGGACACAGGGTGGCACCCTCAGGCCAGGGAACTGGTGGGTGGAGGAGATGGTACACCCCAGGTCTCCTCTGCACCCCAGCCTCAGGGCTTGGTGGCCAGATGGCTAGGATCTGGCTCTGTCTGGTTCTGGTTGCCGAGTCTCACAGTTGCACAGATACTTTCTAGAATATTTTGTTATTTGTCTTCAAAATAACAGGTGCTTTATAATTTTTTTCTTTTTCTGGTACTGGGAACTGAACTTAAGAGCTTGCACTTGCCTGGCAGGCTCTTGTGCCGCTGAACTATATCCCCAGCCCTTAAGTGCTTCATAATTTAAATGAAATAAATGTTGACATTTCCTGTATCTAGTCCCTCCCCCCTCATGTAGCTTCTGGTCCTGTTTATGGCAGGAGGTAGCAGGAACCAAGTGAGGGGGATCTCCTGGTCACACAGGAGATCCCCCACCCCATCATGAGGTCCCCACCCAGGAGCAGGGGGAGACCCAATGCTGGCCCAGGGCCATGAGAGGGCCCTCGGGCTGCAGGCAGAGGAAGTTCTAGGGTCGGGGAGCACTAGCCCCAGTCACTGCCTTCTACCCCTCATTTTAGCTCTGGACTCAACATGTGTGGGACCCTGGGCCTGCGTGCTTTCACTCACTGGAAACTCGGGCCTCACCTCTAGCTGCACCTGCCCTCCTGGAACCACCCTAAATCAAGTTCTGCCTACCCAGGAAGCCTCACCCATCAGCAGTGCCCCCACCCCCCACGCTGGTGCATACAGAGGGTCTCCCAGTGGCCACTGGGCCCAGCACGTGGCTTTGAGACAAGGGGCAGGCCCTATATGAGGCCCAGTGATGTTAGCGCCCCCAAGCCACAGAGTGCCTGATGCCTTTGAGCTGGGAGAGGCTGGAGGACCCTGTCCTGAGCCCTGGGGCTGGCCCACCCCTGTCTGGGGCTTCAGGCCTCAGGAACGTAGGGGGGGAGGAGGATGGCTTTGTCACCAATTACTAGTTTTTGTCATTAGTCACTGGAGCCCCAGGACATCTACTCTGAAACCAGAGACTCCAGCCCTCCTCTTGCTCTTCCTAGCCTCAAATAGTCCAAATGGCCCCTGGCCTAGCCACCACTCTTCTTGGCCCCATGGGACCCACAGTTCACCCTCCCCTCTTGAGCAGGGCCCCAGGACCCCAGGAAAATACCTGTATATCAGGACTGTAGTACTAAGCTGTAAAGGAAGGTGGGTCACACACACTTAGGCCTTTATCTCTGAATACTCTTTTTTTTTTTTTAATACTTGGATACATATTTTTTGACACCTCACGATGAAGAGCAGCAGACCACAGCTGCCTTAGGCCTGAGAGCTCCACTCAGCTTCCCCAGGCCACTCTGAGCATGGCTGGGCCTTCCTGCCAGCTGTGAGGAGCACCTGGTAGAAGAGTGGTAGAAGCAGTGAGCAGGTGTCCTTGGCCCCGTTTTCCAGATGGGGAGACAGAGGCACCAAGGTGACTTGGCCTTGATGAGGCTCACCGGCACTGGGCCAGGATCTGACACTGGGCCGCAAGGTCTCCCTCCGGCCTACTCTTTGTTAGGGTTGGGGGCTGAATGCAGAGTTATCTGCTTGCTCCGGAGTTGCACTGTCTGTCTGGATACCCAGCCTGAGTTCACTGTAGCAACGAAGTGGACATTGGGATGGTCTCTCGGTGGCCAGCAGCCTGCCACACTCTCCTGGGGTGATCAGCACTTCAAGCTAAGAGGAGGACAGTCATGCTGTGGGGGTGGGTGCAGCCACCCCACTCCGCCTCCACCCTAGTCCCATAGCTCCTGGCAATGGCCAGACCTGGACGATGCCCCTGACCTGGTAGTCCTCTGAGGCAGAACCATGGAAGCCCCAGGACACAGTAGCAGCCACCCAGTGACTCTTGCCAAAAGGCACAGAAAATGAAGTCATCAACCAAGCTCTGTTGGCGGCCTCCTGCTGGTTGGCAGCCAAGGGAGCCAGCCAGGACATGTGGCAGATGAAGAGGTCCTCTGCCTGTCAGAACTCCTCAGTCGGGATTTCTAGGCTACACAGTGAGCCCCACTCAGCTGGCTGGGGCCCTGGGGGATCCCCAGGTGTGGGGAATGTGCAGTTGTGGGCCAGTGTTGGGGGTGAATGCATCTCTTCTGAGTCCTTCCACTGTGAGAGCCTGGTGTCCTCTATCTTCATGGACCACTTTTTCCAGCCCTGGTGGATTTTGGCCACTTCTTGCCGGGAGTGGTCTGTGGCCAGCACATAGATGATGGGGTCAGCCACACTGTTGACGGTGGACAGGCACAGAAATACCACGGAGGCCGTGTACAGGCTGGTTTCTAAGGCACACACAGCGTCCCTGTCCCCTCTGTGGTAGGAAAAGGCAGCGGCTTTGACAAGGAGCACCACATGGTAGGGGGCAAAGCAGATCAGGAAGATGAGTACGACCGCGAGGGCAGAGTGCTTCACCCTGGCCTTCTGGGCCGTGGTCAGGCCCCCGCTCAGCTTGATGCTGTGGGAGATGCGGTGGTTGGTGAATGCGATAACGCAGAGAGGAAGTGCAAAGCCCACGGCAAAGCGCGCGTAGTGGTAGCCCGCGATGCTGGTGTTCATCCGCAGGGGTTCAAAGCAGGTTCCGTTCACAGCCTCCATGTAGAACACTGGCTGGTACACAAGCCCTACCAGCACGAAGATGCCTGTGCAGATGAGCACAGCAGTCCTCCGGCGGCGGCGGCCCCGGATCTCCAGCGCATACACCACTGCTGTGAAGCGGTCGCAGGAGATGCAGCAGAGCAGGAGGATGCTGATGTAGATGTTGCAGAAGAAGATGTAGGCGGTCACCCTGCAGGCACGCAGGCCTAGGGTCCATTGGTGCTGGTTCTGGATGTAGACGACCCAGAGTGGCAGCGTGCTGATGTAGAGCAGCTCACAGAGCGCCAGGCAGAACAGGTAGACGGCCAGCACGTTGCCCTGCAGGACCTGCAGCAGCGTTAGCCAGGCTGTAAGGCAGTTGGCAGGCAGCCCCAGTGCGCACACCACGCTGTACACCACCAGCAGTGTCACCCTGCTGTCATTGAAGGACGCGTTGCAGAGCTCCCCGGCGAGGTCCGAGGCCATCGCCAGGGTGGTGTTTTCTGAGGGACAACAGAGTGAGGGTGAGAGTCCTAGGAAAACTGGGGGGATCTATAGATCCAAGCAAGATCTAAACACCCATGTCCAGAGTCCAGATGAATCACACACACTGGGGATTGAACTCCAGCTCTTCCCACTGAGCTATATCTCCAGCTCTTTGCTATTTATCTTGATAAATTGGTAAATTGCCCATAATGGGCTTGAACTTGTGATCTTCCTACCTCTGCTTCCCAGAAGGCTGGAATTAAAGACATGTGTCACCACAGGTGGATTTTTTTTCTTTTTTTTTTTTTTTTTTTTTTTTGTATTTTAGGGGTCCACAGGGTGTTCCGAGTCTCACTACTAGATCAGACTTGTAGTGATCCGCCTATTTACAGCCTCCCAAGAGCTGGGATTACAGGTGTGCACCACCACACCCAGTCTGAATTGCCGTCTCAGCATGCCCAAGGGGTGGGGCCAGCATGGCAGGCCCAGGGATCGAACCCCCAGCCTCTGTGCCTGCTTTCAGGTGCTTTAATCCACTGAGCTATTTGGCCAGCCCCACAAATGGATTTTTTAAAATGACCCTTAGACCCTGGATGTCCAGCACCATGGACAAGAGCCCAGGTGGGGGCACTGAGACTTGAACTGATTGAGGTTAGTTCTTAAAAGCATTGCTTGAGGAAAATGGGGTTCTCTGTGCTGATCAACAGTGCTGGAGTTGGGCACTCACTGTTGCCTGCTTTCAGCACCTTCCAACTTTGAGCCCGCCCCACTAGCCCTGCTGCTCTGCGCATCCTGTCCTCACCTGCAGTTCTCCTCCTTGCCGGCTTGAGCACTCAACTACTGAGAAGACAAGAAGCACTCGCCGCCGGGAAGAGGCTCTGTCCACTCGGCAGCTCTGCCCACGTTTGCTTTGTGTAGCTGAAGTTCCTGTTGGCTGGTCTTAAAGATGTTGTGCCAACCTACTAGGCTGAGTCTGTCACCCTCATGCACCTGTCAGGGTTTGTGTATAGTTTTCCCCCAAAGCCTCATGCAGTCTTGTGGTGGCTTCTAGAGTTTGTGATTAATTCACGATCCAATGCTGGGATTATGGGTGCTACATAATCTTCAGGGGCAGTTAATCTGCATACAAATGTAAGGAGGGGAAAGAGGCTTGCTAGTTGCTGCAGCCTCTGCTCCTCCCTTTGCTCTTTGCTGTTTTCCACTGCCATGAATGGCTGCCCTCCTCCAAATGGGCCATTCTGCCTTGGAGCCAGTTGAGTATGAACTAAAACCTCCACTAACTGTGAACTAAATAAACTTTTTCTTCCTTAATTTTGAGTGTCAGGTGTTTTGTTCCAGCAATGAGAGAAAAGTAACAGACAGAATTTGGGATGGAGAACAGGGTCATAGCTATGACTGTATACCTGACCGTGTGGGTTGTGAGCCTTTGGGAATGGCTTATGGGAAGAGACAGTAAAGGTTTGGAAATGTCACCTATGAGAGAAGCGCTAGAACTCCTTCGGCTGTTCTGTTTGGGAGATTCTGATCAGAGCTAAGAAGGCCAAAAGGCTGATAGAAACCCTGCCTGTAAATCCCATGCTGGGGAGGTTTCTTCTGGGAAGAAGGACTGCACTGGTTGTTGGATTCCAGATGATGTGTGTTATGGCATGGCAGAAAGGTTGTCTTCCTTTTGCTCATGTCCAGAGACTTTGCGTGAGACTGAGATTAAGCACAGTAGGCTGGTTAATCTTGCAAAAGAAATTTCAAAGCAGTAGAATGCTGAAGCAGTGGCATGGCCATTGTTGGTGAATTTTAGTCAGATTTATGTTGAGAATCAAGAGCAAAGCACACAGCAGAATGATTTAAAATGTTGTGAGTTTGGCCAGAAAGGAAGTACCAATAAACTGTGGGCTGGAAAGATAGAGCTGAGAGGATCTCCACTGTCAAGGAGCAGGAGACTAGAAAAGACAGCCAGAGAGCATCGCAGGAGGCAGCAGGTCTTGCCCTTTGCAGCCTCAAAATTGCAAGGGTGTGGGACTTTGCCTTGGGAAGAAACCTGCAGAGCACCGTGTTCCTTTATCTCTGAGGTAGATAGCAGAACACCTTCTCTCAAAGGTGTTGGGACTCCCATCCTTGGAACTTTCAAGTGCTAGGCTATGCAGCAGAGGGGTATAGAGACTGGCAACTGACTGACGGTACACACAAAGAGCAGCCTGAACATCCAGCCCAGCACCTCAAAAGTCCTTAAATGCCAGAGAGGAGGGAAGAAAAGAGAAGGACAATGAGATTGAGGGGGCCAGTGGACCAGTGCCAGTACTCAGTGCTCTAATGGTGGAGGAGGCCACTGGCCAAGAGCCACAGGTGGCCTCTGTCAGATGAGAGGGGAGGAATCAGGCCCCCATGCCCAAGAAGGAGCTCAGCATGGTGAGCACTAGGGTTCTACATTGCTTCAGCATCAGCTTTGGATTCTGGTCTGACTTTCCTGGGCCAGAAGCAAGGTGCATTCAATGCAGGGCATGGCTTGAATTCCTGTCTCATTCCAAGGGCCAAGGTGGGGCCAGAGCGGAGATCTTGGGGGTAGCTAACAGGTGTCCTCTAAAGAGGCCATTCAGGCGTCTGCCCAAGGGCCTAAGTAACACTGCCGCTCACATAGCCCCTGGCTGCCACGTGCACAGACTGCAGCTGCCTCTGGTTGCGTCATGGGAAACCAGTGCCATTTGCTCTCAGGCTTCTGGGGGACAGTTCCTTACTATAACCTTCTTTCCTAATAATAATCAGTTACCTTTTGACTACTATTTGGCTTTTTTTTTCCCCTAGGCTTTCACTTGCAATTTATTTGAATCCTTTTGATTTGTTTGTTACTTTGCTTGTCTCCACCCCGGGCCCTGGAGTGGAGCCCAGGGCCTTCATATCCCGGTCCTTTTATTTATATTTATTTTAAAACAGGCTATCGCTAAGCCACTAAGTTGCCCAGGCTAGACTTGAATTGTCAATCTTCTTGCTTCAGCCTCTTAATTCCAGGCACAACACTTGGAGTCCACTGTTTTGTGTCCCACTTTTGTTTTCTGTTATAGGCTGAAAAGACACATTGAGTCCTGACCTCTCTTGCTGCAGAGGTGACCTAATGTGGCAAAGGAGTCTTTGCCAGTGATTCTCGTGACACGGGGCTGAGGGGTGGTGGTAGCAGCACTCCTCACAGAAAGGGAAAATTGGGACAGACTCATGCAGGAGACAGAGGGAGGACACAGGGGAGGGGCAGAGCAGGTTCCCCTGCTGTCTGAGGTGAGCCCACCCCAAAGACTTCTGGGTAACATCCACCTTCCCGCATCCTTAGGACAGAAGGTCTGTGATTCAACCCTGGCCCCACTCCACAGCCCCAGCTGGCCAATTTCTACAGCCCCTCCATGACTTGGCATTTATTCTTGCTCCCTTTCATCCTCTAGTGATGACTCTAGAGACGTGAACAGGTGTTTGCAGCCTTCCAAAGCTACCAAACCCTCAGCCTTCTTGCTAGTCTACACAGGACCTGCAGACACTGGATCCATGGCCCCTGCACCACACGTGATTTATGTCCCTTGTGTCAGGTGTGTGGCTTTGTCTTAATGTGTGTGGGGAAAAACAAAGTCTAAAATTTGTTAACATAACCCTTGTACATGTACAGATCAGGGAGGCTGAGGTTTCCACCCACAGGTGAGATAGTGCAGCTCAGTGTCCCAGCGAGCAGGCCAAGCTCTTGCCTGCTCCTGTGACCATGTCTGCTGTTGGTATCTCAGTCCCTTCAGGCTTCAGTGACACTGGCCTAGCCCAGGTGGCTAGTAAGCAACATGAGTGTTTTTCTCAGTTTGCTCCAGAGGTCAGAGGTCCAAGGTCCAGGCCAGCAGAATTTGTGTCAGATGAGAGACGTTTTCTGCTCACAGCAGAGGTGTCTTACCTTGAGGCTTCTGCCCTGTGGACACTAATCCCTAATCCCTAATCCACTCCCAAAGGCTACTTCCCCTGGCCTCTTGTGGGTGAAGGCATCCATGAACCCATGGGGGACACAGACAACCAGCCTTTAAAAGTCTATTTTTCTTTTTCTGTCCCATATGATTTATTTTTAAAGAGCAGAATTTATTTATTGAGGGAGAGAAAGCTTCTGTCTGAGAGAGGGACAGAAAGGCCAGGAAGGGAACCTGAGTGGGTTGCCCAGGCCCCTGTCTTTTTAAGAGATTTTTGTAGAGCAAAACCACAAGATAAGCCGGATCTAAAATGGGAAACATGGGAACTTGCTAGGTAGGCATGAGCTGGGACAAAACTATGGTCAACCAATGAGACTACAAGCATAATTACTCAGGTAAAATTGATTAAATTGGGATCAAGTGGGGAAGTGAGTCGAGTAGCAAGCAGGCACAAATACAGAACAGGGCTTTTCCTGTAGGGGTTGGGTTAGGTTAGGTTAGACTCTTCCTGGCCTTTTTGTCAAGTATGACTTTTTTCTTCTGCTTGCTTGTTTTAGAGGTTCTGAAGGATTGAACCCAGGGCCTCACATGTGCTGGGCCAGTGTTTTACCACTGAGAATAATGTTGCATACTGTGTGGCAAAGGCCGTTGGAATCTAGGGTCTGAGGCCACAGCACTGAGGAGACCTCATGGCAACCCTGCCTCCCCTTGGCCTCTGCCCAAGTATGCTCAGTCATATACTTCTGACTTTGCATGGGGCTGCTGGGCAATTTGCAACACAGCCCTTGACCACCTTCTCTGGCGCAGTACCACTATTCATGCCCTGGAGCAGGCTGAATGGTCTTGGGGACCACCCAGACTTGAGGCCTCAGATAATGTTGTCTCTGGACCCCCTAGATTCAGGAACTGTCGACTCCTTGGCCTCCCCATGTGACATCCAGCTAGCTAGGGAAACTACACACATCCCATGCACTGGCATGGCCTTCAGGGGCCTGGCCAGCTAGCCATGGTTTCCTGGGATCTCACTACCCATGCCTGTGGTGGCTGGTCTCTGTAACAGAACTAAATACCAGGATGTCAGCAGAAAGACCACTCCATGTCTCAGCAAAAGGCCCTTCATGAAGGAGCCAGAAGGCCTGTCTGGGAACAATGGGTCCAATACCCTACTGGGCACTTGTTTGGTTTCTCTCATTTTTCTCAGGTAAAATGCACATAGAATGTTCCATCCTAACCATTCGTAGGTGTGCAGTTCTGAGGCACTAAGCACACTCACAATGCTGTTCAACTGCCCCTGCTGCCCATCTCCAGAATGTCCTGACCTTGCATGACCAAGCTATAGTTAGTTCATCAAACACTAACTCCTGTCCTCTCCTGGCTTCTGCACCCGATTTGACTCTCTCCCTGGATCTGAACCCGTGTGCCCTCCTGTGAGTGGTCACATGGCATCTGTTCTTTTGTGCTTGGTTTATTTCACTCAGCACAGGGTCCTCAAAGCTCATCTGTGTCATGACTTGTGCCCCATGGCTGAGACGCAACCTCTGACACCCACAGGCTAAGGTGGCTTCCAGTGCTTATCCATAGTCAGCTGGCTATGGCACAGGCAGAGGACACTCAAGGCCCAGTGGTGTCCACATCCTCCACAGAGGGGCTCTGGTCCCCTCCCCCCCTCCAGTGTCCACCGCAGCGTCCTGGTGGAGTATGTCCTGTGCCACCTGCTCAGGCCACATAGCCCAGGGACCTTCACTGGGCACCATACCCCTTTCTGTGTACCGTGGAGGACTGGCACAGCCCTCATCCCTCCTTCTTCCCTGCAGGTGACAGGGACAAGTCCAGAAGAAGCAGAAAGGTGAAGAGGGAGCATCTCACAGTCAGCGCACCCCATGGATGGCCAACAGGGGACATGCAGGACATGTGGATAATCACACCTGGTCGTTTTCCCAGGAAGTGAATGTGGAACCCAGAACTGTTCAAAAGGAAGCATGAAGAGGGTACTTCCTAACTTCCTGATGGAGCACCTCTGGGTCTAGTTTTTATTTTGAGAATCTTTGTATGTGAATTTTTGAATTATGAGACCAAGCTATGGAACAAAGTGCATCTTGGAAAGACCCCCTGGACCCTCGTAAGTGCTCACAACCCCAGAGCCCTCTCACCTGGCATAACTGCAGTCCAGTCTCAGGGTGCCTCCAGAGCAAGTGTCCTCATGTAGTCATGTGTCTTGCTGCCTGGGGAGGACACCCTGGCTGTTCAGAGCAACCTGAAAAACACAGTAGTCATTACTTTGAGAAAATTAGGTGGTGTGACATGAATTAATTGATTCAACCAAATGGTTGGAGAATATTTATGGTGTAACAAGTCCTCATGTGGGGACAAAGGATCCAAAGCCACACTGAAGGAGACAGCTCTAAGCAACTATGCTGGGAGAACTGTCCATCTATATGCCACAGACTGAACTAAACTACATCAAAATGGGTTAGAGATCTAATCAGTAGAGCATATACTGGAAGACTAATATGTAAAACTCTTGAAAACATAGGCCTAGGCAAGGACGTTCAGAACAGAGCCTCAGTTGCACAAGAGATGACCCTGGGAATCAATGCTGGGTTCCTATCAAATTAAAAAGCTTCTGGATCCAGGTATTCCTGTGGTGCTAGCACTCAGGAGGCTGAGGCAGGAGAATCACTGTGTTTTGTTTTGTTTTTTTGTAGCTGGCTCAGCCTGCCCTGGTGGCAGCATATAACGCTGGGAATCAAACAGGGTCCCTGCTCTTTACCTAAACTTACCTAAGCAGGTGTTTTTAGGCCTGTGAGCTATCTCGCAGGCCCTAGATCACTGTGAATTTGAGGCTATATAGTGAGTTCAAGACCAGACTGAACTACGTAGCCTAACTCAAACAAACAACTTCTGCGCAGCAAAGAAAACAACCGACCAGTGAAGAGACAACTGACACAATGGGGAAAAAATTGCCGGCTACACCTCAGGCAGAGATCTAACATCCGGAATATACGAGGAACTCAAAAGGTTAGACCCTGCCAAAATAAAGACCCAATCAAAAAATACATACTTATAAAAATTTTTAGATAAAATGTTTTAAAATTGTTAAGAAAAAATTATTGCTAAATTGCCCTACCAAAATAAAAGATAAAGGGCGAGTGAATAGACACTTCTTAGAAGTACAAATGGCCAAACATCCAAAATGTTCAATATCTCTTAGAGAAAGGCAAATTAGAACAGTGCCAAGGTTCCACTGTGCTCCAGAGAGTGGCCATCACTAGGAAGCCAAATAACGGCAGATGCCGGCGGGCTGTGACAGGAAAAGCCCTGCCCCACTCTTGGCGGGGATGTAAGCTAGTACAGCTGCTATGGAAATCAGTAGGACGAATTCTCAACAAACTAACTTCCATTTGCTCCAAAAAGTCCCTCTAGGTGTCTTTTTTTTTTTTCTCCGAATGCCTTCAGGGCATGTTTGGCTGGCTTGAGTTGTGGGGATCGAACCAGAGCAACCTGAGCCTGACTTAGGTGTCTTCCTGTGTCACAGGGATCCATGCATGCCCGCATTTACAGCAGCGTGACTCATAGCATCAGAACCTTGGGCACGGCCTCTATGTCCAGCAACAGATAAAGGAAGAGAGAAAACAGGACACTTACACACGATAGAGCCCAGGCCTGCAGTGCCGGCCCCGCCCCCAGCACAAGCTGAGAGGGCAACTGAGCCTGAGTGTGGTGGCGCACGCCTGTAATCCCAGCTCTTGGGAGGCTGTAAACAGGCGGATCACTAGGAGTATGATCTGGTAGTGACACCCTGGACACCCTGTAGACCCTCCCCTAAAATACAGAAAAATAAATAAGCAAACACAATGGAGCCCGGCACCATGGCACTTCTCTGTAATCCCAGCACCGGGAGGCTGAGGTAGGAGGATTGCTGCAAATTCAAGGGCTGTCTGGGATACAAAGTGAAATCAGGGCTGGCCTGAACTGTGTAGTGAGACCCTGTCTCAAAAAGCCAAAACCCAAAACAATAACCTACAATGGAATGCTAGTTTGCCATAACAGAGGATAAACTTGAGTCAGTTGTAGACAAATGCACCTCGAGATAATAGTGTTAAATGAAATAAATCAGACACACAAGCTTACAATATCACATAATTTCTTGGGGCTGGAGAGATAGCTCAGTGGTCTAAGCATCTACCTGGCAAGCACAGAGACCTGAGTTCACTCCTTGGTACTACATGTTGTGCTAGCTCAGAACCTCAGGCGTTCTGTGCTAGCCCCCAAAAACAGGTGTGGTGGTGCACACCTCTGATCCCAGGGCTGGGGAGGCTGAGACAGGAGGATCGCTATGAGTCTGAACTGTGTAGCAAGGCCCTGTATCAAATAAATAAATAAATAAGGAGCTGGGGAG